CTGACCAAGGCGTGCTATTTTACAAGATGTGTTGCCTTTCGAAGGTGTGCTGTAATTAAAAGACATGCTGGAGTAACACACGCATTTTGTCGGAAGGTGTGTTTGGCTTAATAGCACGAAAGATGTGTTATTGAAAGGCGTGCTTTTTAACACACTGGCGTGCTCTTTAACATACCATGATAGGTTAACTAGCACATCAAGGTGTGTTAAGGTTTGATTGTGTGTCAGTGTAGCACACCAGGCGTGTAAGATAACACAGGTCGGTGTGTTATTAAGCACATCTATTTTTTAGAGTGTACAAAGCTAAATGTTAACAATATGCTTTGGATTTCCAGTTCGCTATAAGGAGGTTGAATGCTTTCCTAAAATGCTTCACAAGTTTATCTCTGCCGTTATATATACGCCTGCAAGGGATTAAGAGAGTTCCAAATGTGAATCGATCTGTAATGAACAGTCTGTTGAGTTAACGAGGTTTTGCACTCCACGGGATTTGTAATTTATTGCAATTTCGTGTGTTACCACTATATATTGCACCTCAGATCTTAGCTTTAAACGTAGATGAAGCTAAACCATCCATGCATTTAAGACAGCGTTTTTAATATATAAAAGATAGGCCTATTGGATATCGGCAAAATAAAACGTGGGCGTTAGCTAAATATTCATACTTTAACTTACCGAAAAGTATGAGGGCTGCAAAATTTTGAACAAATTCCAGTTTCACAATGTTGTTCTTACTTGTACCTAACTATATACAGATGAGCAATGAAAAGGTTTGGAAAAACTAAACAGTTTATAACCATTGCAGGTAAACTATACATCAAGCGTTCCTTGTTTGAGTTCCGATCGAACTTGATTGCAATTTTCCTCATTACCCTAGGAAAGTTGAAAACTCCCTTGCAAATGCCTTGAGGCAATTTGGAATGTTCCTATCGGCTGTTGCGGTATTCCAATGTAGAGAAACTTCCTTTCAAGTTTTTCTAACTTCCTGTTTTAATTTCCTGACGTCTTGTTCTGTTCTGAGGGTTGTCATTGGTGGATTATTTTTGTTAGCCAATTACAATGCACGTAACAGGACAGGAAGTTACGAACTTGTAACACGAAATTAAGAACTTCTAACAAGAATTGAGGAAAATTTAATTGGCTTTTAGGAACATATTGCAAATTCCCTCAAGGGATTTGCAAGGGGGTTTTTCGTATTTGCAAAGGTACTGCGAAAATTGCAATCAAGTTAGGGACTCAAAAGAGAAACACTTGACGTATATACCTGTAAAAGGGTAGGTTGATGACGATTCCTATATATAATATCAAAGCAATATTTTGTTGGCATATTTATACCTCACTCGATTGAATAATATAGTTGAAGTGTTTGCACATGGAAATTATCTATCCACTGTAAATTTTATATACCTGGCAGTACCCTATATATATATATAGTATATGAACTTGTAGTAGGAGCTCGACAACTGGTGGGTAGCTCAGGGCTGCACGTTTAAATTCTGCCAGAGGATATATATATATAGTTTCATTTTACGCAACTGTTCATGGTGAGGTCGAAAATGTATATAAAATTTACCCTCGATAATTTTCCCCTATGCACTAACCCTTCAACTATTATTCGGTTTAATGGCAGTCACTATTAAGGGCAAATTGTAATAGGTTAATTGAGAAGTAAAATGTCTGATCATTGCAGACATTCTGTCAGTGGAATTGAATACTTTTGCCGCCCTCTTTCTGAACAATGAAAATGAAAAGAAAATACTTAACCTCTATATTAAATTACTATAAGCCTTTTATTAGGAAACTTTAGCTTATATACTGTCAGTTCTAAACTCTTCTCCCTAAAGGTCCAGTAAGGACCACCCTTACTGGATTCATTGTTCGTCCAGTGTTACATAAAATATCTCGAAAATGACAAGAAATAAGCTTTAGCGGAAAAGTTGCACAGCATGCAACTCATTATTTTACGGTTTCTAAAATGCAGACTTGAGCCTGTCCGTATAAATATCACAAAAGACAGGAATTCGTAGACATTCAGGCAATTACTCTGAAGTTAAAAATATTTTTAAAGTACCGCAATTTTTCGAAATATTTCTATTTGCCGTAACTTGGAGATAAATAAACTGAAGATAGTTGCTATCACGCATGCATTGTGTATGCTTTAAGTTATTTTCCTTTTAGACATAATTGGTTATCTTCATATCATAATTAGTACAGCACAATAGGAATCTTGACTTTGTAGGTTTGCATGGTAAAAATAAATATAATTGTTTCATTTTCTGCATGGACATGCTTGGTATGCCTTTGTTTCGGCTTTGCGGTCAAAGCTTTCGATCCAGATCTTTCACAAAATCGAATGGTCACGAAATTGAAGTGGTGCAATCTGCTTCAAATAGTTGAGTATGTGTAATGGAAGAGCTATAGCTATCCATGATATCCTCATATCCAGTGTATCAACATCGCCATTAACGCGTATAGTTCAGGTTTCATTCTGTTGTAACACTAAATCATTATGAGTGATGACGCTTAGTGGACCTCTGCGAGAACACTGATAGAGTTATCCAGTATAAATAAGGTATAAATACACTTATTTATACTGTAGTGTCTGCTTACGCTGGATCTCCACGGGAAAAACAGTTCGATCACTGACTATGATGCATGGAGGTGAAATTCCCAATTGCAGAACTAAATCACGATTAATGTTGACAATGAAGATGTAGATTTTGCAAGAATAGCATGCAGTGGAGGAGAAACGACAAATATACAATATCGATATAAATGCATGCATGGTTGTAGCATGCATATATAGCAGGCGTATAAATCAACGGTTTAGTTTCGGTATCGTCTTGTCGTTACAATAATAGCGACCTTAAGCATGTAGGACGGGACGCGACGACAAACAAACTCGTTGAACCAAATGATTCAGTGCGGAAGAAAACTTGTCGTCTATTATCCATCGTATGAAAATAATACAGTTTGAGGATCAAAACTAACATTAGGTTTATAATTGAGAAATTAAAGTTCTAGGCCCAATTTAAAATAGCAGTTGTCCCAGCTTGAAATGTAAGCGTTGTACACAAGACGTGATAATCTATATTTTGCCGTTGTAAAACAGAGCTACGGCGACGTCTATAACGTCCGTAAGATTTCAATTATTAATTTCTGCTCACTTTCTCGCACTAATATGATATTATTAGCTGTTCCCGTTGCACTTTCGTTCTGCTATGTTGAAGTTCTCAATAACAGCACCCAGGAAAACCCTCCGCAGGATAGTAACGGAAGGAAAGTTACATAGTGCTAAAGTCGTTAGTTTCAATGCCGTGCGCTCCTGCGGAAAATTTTATTGAGTGGAAATTAGCCGACAATGAAGCTTAACAAAACCAACACAGGTCACATTAGAATTAATAACAACACAAATTTGAACAAGACAAATTACGGGACTTGTTACAAGACAAACATATAGACTTCCATGTTCTAGGATTTTCTGCGTCGTAAATGTTCAGAGCCGATTTGTAAATGTTCAGAGCCGATTTTGAAACGACCTAAGCTTATGTTCTTTGTTGTCAACTCTTTTGGCAGAACATTCCATACTCTCGCACACCTGGATATAAACGATCTCTGGAATGTTGCAGTCCTACACTTCGGTGTGGTGGACTTCAAACCGTCAGGGTCAGCTGATCGCGTTGCTCTCTGCCGGATCTGAATTGATAGTAGAATTTTGCCATTGATGTTTATTATTCCATTTACACATTTAAAGTAAAACAACAGATCGAGGAATTCGTGCCAATAGCAGAGCGGAATGAGGTGTAACAGTTCGAGTCTCTTACTATAGCTGACATCGCAGTTGAATGGCAGATCCAAAATAAACTTGCTCGCGCGCCTCTGGATTCTTTCCACGCGTTTGATCAGTTCCACGGATTGTGAAGCCCAGACTTGAGAAGCATAGCATAGTTTTGAGCGTACGAGAGTCAAATACAGAGTACGACGAACCGAGATAGTTTTTGTGTCCAGTGTAGATCTCCTTAAGTAGCCGAGCATTTTGGTTGTTTGAGCACATTGGTCCTCAATATGTTTGGACCAAGTCAGATTGGAAGAAGTCCACACTCCCAGATCACGTTCGTGAACAGTGCTTTCCAGAACAGCATCATGTAGCTTGTAGGGATATTCTGTTTTGTGGTGTTTTCTGGTTATTCTCATGACTTTACATTTTTGAGCGTTTAATATCAGGTTTGCCTTGCTGGAGTTCTCTTCAAAATTTGTTAGGTCCTTTTGTAGTGATGATGCGTCGGACACGTTATTTACAGTTTTAAAGATCTTTGTATCGTCCGCAAAGGTTGCAATGCTGGAGTTGCCCACGCTTTCGGAGAGGTGGTTTTCGTACAAGAGAAACAGTAAAGGACCGAGAATAGAGCCCTGCTGTACACCGGATGTCACTGCTAACGATCTTGATGTTGCTCCACCAATTGTTGTCTGCTGATTACGATTGCTGAGGTACGATGAAAACCAGTTGAGAAGGTTACCTCGAAACCCGAACTTGTGTAATCGGTGCATGAGCTGAGCGTGACTTACTTTATCAAATGCCTTCGACATGTCCAGGTAAATCACGTCTATCTGCTTACCGTTGTCTAATTTCCGACCTATCTGTTCGAATACTTCGATCAGTTGCGTTACGCATGACTTTCGTGGAACAAAATCGTGTTGGCAAGGGTTGATTTGTTGAAAAACATGATGTTGGATGTTATGGAAAACGCAACGCTCGTGGACTTTGGAGATAAGAGAAAGCAACGAGATTGGACGGTAGTTCTCGATATAGGATTTCTCACCCCGTTTGTGTACTGGTACGACATTCGCTAATTTCCAATCATCTGGAAGAACACCACAACGTAAAGATTTGTTGAAGAGAGCGCAGAGTGAAGGAGCGATTTGGGATGATGTTTCCGTCAACAAACGTGCTGGGATTCCGTCTGGACCATGAGCTTTATTGTTATTTAGATTAGTTAATACGGTTATTACTTCGTCGTTAGTCAGTGTTATGTCTTCCAAAACAATTTCTGGATCCGAGTGTTCTCCTAGATTGTGGTCACTATTGTTGTCATGCGTAAAAATTGAGGCGAAATATTCGTTAAAGTATTCGCAATGTCTACGTTGTTGTTGGAATACGTTCTTTTATTTTCACTAGATTTAACCGAGACTTTTAACGGAATATTAGATACCTTAGACTTAATCTTGAAAAACGACCAGAAACGTTTAGGATTGGGTTTACAAGATTCACAGATTGAATTGATATAGTACAAAACATAATCCGAAGATAAGCATCTTGAAACCCAAAATATGAGTCAAACAAGAAAGTGAGTGAGTAATATTTCGATTTTATTACAAAATCATCATCAGACATGAGTCAGTTAGTCTGATGATGATTTTGTAATAAAATCGAAATATTACTCACTTTCTTGTTTGACTCATATTTTGGGTTTCAAGATGCTTATCTTCGGATTATGTTTTGTATTATATTTTTTGAAATTGTCGGCTGGTATTGGTTTTTGAATTGATATAGTCCAAGCGACTTTCACGCAACATTCTTTTAATTGTCCTGCGGAGCTCTCGAAATCTTTGCTTGAGGTGTTCACTTGGATGACAGGATCTTTTAATTCTCGTTCTTATAGAGTTTTTCTTCTTGTTGAAGTGAAGTATTGTATTGTTCATCCAAGGGAGATGGTTTCGACCTCGTAGTGTTTTTGTCGGCACAAATTTCGATACCGCGCCCAAAAACGCATTTTTTCACGCGAGCCAATCCTGGTTGATATTGCCGTTCTCTGATATAAGTTGACTGAGGTCGAGGGCCGGATTGAAGATGCCTTCGTAGACCATCAATGTCAGCGCGTCGGTAATCAAACACTGAACGTTTTACCTTTGGGAAAGGATTGCATGAGAGGAAGACGTCGAAAATAATGGAGGTCGAGAACTAGTACCCTCGCACGGCGCTTCGCGCCGTCGGCTCGGGGATAAATTTAGTTTCAATTTCGTTGAATTTAGTAACTATACTACCTTGGATTCCAGAGCCTTCGACAGTAAATAATAAATTGAAACGTCGCGAAGGCTCTGGTTCAACGGAGAGATTCTTTAATTAAACCGCGCCAATCACAAAACAAAATTAGTGAACTACAAATTCTGTTTTATGATTGGCGCGGTTTAATCAAAGAATCTCCCCTTTGAACCAGAGCCTTCGCGACGTTTCAATTTATTATTTACTGTCGAAGGCTCTGGAATCCAGGGTATAACTATATGTGGTTGCGCACACGGTTCAGAAATAGTGTTCATAAAAAATCTAATTCGTTTTCAATATATTCTAGCCTTAATCTCGACAGGTCGGTTTCGCATTACATTTCGATTCAATTTTTCAAATATAAATATCTCGGCGAGTATTTACCCCCCTTTTAAATAAATGCCACCACTGAAATCCTCATAATATAACCTTTCGAACGGGGGTCAAGTGCCGTCAAAACGTTACACAAACCAAAACGATTATATTTATACTCACCGCTTCGGCAAACATTCGAACGAGAAAAAGAGAAAAAGTTGAATATATTCTAAAATTTGGCGTCATTTTCTGAAAAGATATAGGTGTAAAATACTCTTTATCAGTGGCGTAGCTAGCGAAATTTGACTAGTCCTGCTCTAAGACCCACCCATTCTAGGGGGGTCCGGGAGTATGCTCCCCCGGGAAATTTTGAATTTTAGAAGTCTGGAATGGCCATTTCCTGCGATTTCACGGCGAAATACTCCAAAGGGAACATAAAAAAAATTGCGTGATTAGCGGAAAATTTTTGATAATTTTTTTAGAAAAAAAAATTTGCAACTTTTTGAAATCCATGCATTTTTTTATCATATTTCACTATATATTTTTCAACTTAACTGAAAATATAATGTAGCTAAATATAGTCAAGTCACGAAAGAGGAAAATATCATGTATACCATACGCGTCTGTAATATGATCTTTCACTTGATCAACACATAATCCAACCTCACATAATCAACAATTGCGCCACTATTATACTGTTGAACACGGCGTTTTATACACATATACTAAAAACGCTACGGCTAGCATTCGTTAAAAATTCACTACGTTTGTTAGTAATGTGTTAACCTTTATATAGTGGAGTGGTATCAACTACAGATAACTACGCCTGGCACTCTGAATTGAATGTAATTCAGTACGCTATGCATATAGTCTATGCGGCCAAATATCTACATAAACAGTGTGAATTGGTACAATATATGGTCATATATCATTTTTAAAATTAAACTCCATATAAGTGCTCGTTTCAAATGGACAAAGCAGATGAACTGGCAGTAAATATTACGTTCTTACTTTATATCAATACGACATTACGACGTACAGGCTTCACAAATGAAGTTTGTATTCCCCATTATATTGTATTATAAAAATACACAATCATCAGTCGAGTCTGTTCACATGCATTTCGTGAGCTAAAATATCTTAGCAGAAATTATATCAAAATCACATTGGGCTTCCGCACTCGTTGATTTCCATATTCATAACTTGAGTAATCTCCGTCGACAGAATTAGTAAAAAGTGGGTTTAGTCGCGCGGAAAGCTCGCAAGTAAAGACAATACAAGGCCAAGTCCTGCCATTTCGAGAGAGCAGGACTTCGCATTTGTAAACAGTCGGTTTGAGCATGCGCAGACCTAATTATCCAATCAGAAACCAAGATTTCTTGTATGAATTTACTATGAAATATACTAGCAAGTCCTGCCATTTGAAAATGGCAGGAAATAAGAGTCGCGTGCAAATCAATGTAGAGTTGCAGTTGCTAGGTAACAGACACGGCAAGCTATAAAATTGCGTAAATATATAACAGAATGCGAAAAACTTTTTAAAAAATAATAACGAAAAAGACAAGAAAATGAGACAAAATAACAATATGATAATGTAAATTTTTAAAGCTTCAAGATAAATAAAGCAATGTTTTAGTAAGGAAATTTTGGCAAATTTTTAGTCCTGCTGGGCAGGACAAGCAGGACCGCTAGCCAGTGATGTTTTCCAGGGGGAACGCGGGGGAACGCCGTCCCCCCACCTTTTTTTACCGGGGAAACGGCGTCCCCCTTGCCAAAATCAAACATGGGGGAACGCCGTTCCCCCTGGCAGGGATTAAATATTAGCGAAGTTCAGTGAACGCCGTTCGACACCGTCCAAATAATTTTGGCTATCACTTGTTCTACATACGTGTTATTTGCCAAAATTTCTAGCAGACTAGTACAAAATAATAGTCTAAAGTCTGATAATTGACGTCCACTTAGATAGTTCACAATCAATTGTCATCAGCACGGAGATAACGTCAGGCAGCAGCCCAGCGGGATATAATTTGAATTACCTTATGCATGGAGTTAGCAGAACATGATACCTGAAAAACACGTAGCTTGCGCGCGGTAGATGTCAAAAAGCAAATAAAACCACGTTAACTTTCCAATTTCGATGATGCATTAGTGCTATGTGAGTCAACCAACTCGGCAAATAGGCAACTTTGCAAGTTAAATATGACGTTTTCACGAGTAACTAAATAAGCTTGGATAATAGATATCCTTGAATCTTTCCCATTCATGTCAATGTTCTTATTGAATCATTTTATGTTCCCATTGATGATTTTAATGTTTAATTTCGCGATTGCGTGAAAGACTATACTACTTTATAAAAATCAAGCCTAAGCCAGAAATTGTAAAATAGGTTGTTGACCATTGTAGTTAGTAAGAGATATGATTTCTAAAAGATCTAAAATCGTTGAATTCTTTATATACTGAAAAGTCTGTGGAAGACTCAATTTCAGAAGTTAAAACTGGCTTCGTAGCCATCCGTTAACCATCATCCACAGCAATGTGGCATATTTTGACAAGCTTGCCTATTAGACTAAAGTCACTAAATCCCCCCGCTTGTTTAATTTCATGGTCAATGGCCACGCCCAATCGAATGACCACGCCCATTTGATTTTCAACAGCGTCCCCCCTCTTCTAAAATTAGCAAAACATCGCTGCCGCTAGCTACGCCACTGCTCTTTATATTCAAGCGCTTTCGTGTAGAAAGTTTCGTATGAATACGGCGAGTAGAAATATTTATTTTGAATTTTTCAAGGTATCCGGTTTTGCTGGCACACGCGTGTATTGCGTAATACTTGGCCAATAAGGAGCTCCTTTAGCTGGGATGACGTCAAACTCACGCGTATAGGTGCACTTTGACCTGTAGAATCCATTTCTGGCATTTCCAGAGTCACGCGATACAAACTTCGCATTGTTTTGACGGTTTTTCGTCATATTTCCGGTTGGGTTAACGCAAATTCGGAGCAGAAATGCAAAATTCGGCAACAAAAGTCACATTTTAAAGATAGAAGCTTGAAAATAACAGTATACATGTTATTTTTAACTGCTTCATTCATCAAGACTACCAGAATGAGCATAATTATGTCTCAAGGGGCCGAAGTTATGTTCGGCGAAAGGTATGTCTATGTTTATAAATTGTTAGTAATATTGCGTAATTTGATCATATACAAGCCCGCTTGACTTTCAAAGCTCATAAATCGCTATAATGTAGCCACTGACTAAAACTATCGTTATAAATTAGTATATATTTTTATACTGAATCGAATGGTGGTATTTTAATCCACATAGCGAAGTTATTAATGAAACATCCGTAGATCGTGCACGTTCTACGCGTAATGGACCCTGCTGAGAAAGAGTTAAAATCATGATATACGTGCAGTATAATATCATGCTTTTACATATTTGATCTAATAGAAACACTTGTGCGAAACATGGCCAGCTGCACCTGCAGTATTCATGCATGTGTAACTGGTGATGTTTTGGGTGGCTCGCGCTGCCCGCTCACACCATATTAACTATGCTCACACTTATCAGCAGACTCGACAAGCTGATTCTTTTTAAATTAACACTGATATCACTGATTGCATTAATTGACAGTTCCATATAGCTGCATAGTTATGGCTGCTATACGTCCCATGCATTAGGCTAATGAATTTATAAATCTGTATATAGACTCTATTTAGTCCAGGATTCGACTATTTCTTTGTAACAACAGTTTTAATTTGTTCAACTGCTCCGAACTGAGAAAATTCACTATGCTTCAATAGATTTCAGGCATGAAGCCAATCTTCAAATGGAGCTTATGTCAAATATAATTCATGCTCAACGTTTTGTGTCATCGAACGATAACCTCGTACGTGACCGCAGCTCGTAAACCGCCACGCAAGTTGTTATTTATCCGAAAACCGCCCTCTCAAACCGTATAATCACCAAAGTATTATCGGAATCTCTTATTTACTTTTTTTACTTTCAGCGCGTATGAGCAAGGGGGAGGTACTTCACTGCTATGCATGTGATGGGCTATAAAACAAGGCTGTAACACGAAATTTCAGTAAGCCTAAGGTAACCCTTCAGAAATTGTCAGACAAGTATACACTGAATATCAAGATGTGGTCATTTGCTTTTTTCCTTGGACTTGGTGTGCTGCTTGCATTGCCAGATCAAGGCAAATGCTGTCGCAGAAGAAGATCTCCTCCACCTCGGCCTGCTCGTAAGTGAGATTTATATGCCTATAGTCATGTATGCTTTATTCCCTAGTAGGATAAGATACTGAAACTACATTCAGTGTGAAATTTAAACTAAAAACCCCTCATTTTTATTCGTTTTTTGATGCATATACACGAAATGTTGAATGCGTCGCAAAAAACATTCACCATGAGCTCTTGAAGAATCTGGCACTTACCGGCTAAAAGAATTCCAGCGCGAAGACGAAGCAGTCGCTTTTCGGGTCAGGCATTACCTTTAAGCAAGGTATGATTGTATAATAATGGTGATGATTTAGCAACGGTGCTAAGATGCTAAAAAACTATGCTAAAAGAGTTCCTCCAACTGAATCATTGCATGCAAGTATAGGTCGCGGTCACACTCACACTAGCGCTTTGTGCTTGCAGATTTGCAAAGGATTAGCGTGCTTGCTTGTGACGTCATTCAAGCAAGTGCTAGAATGGTCGCGGTCACACTGAAAAAGTACTTATGCTTGCTTAAGATTGTAATGACAGATAAAGTGTCTTTGGTTTTTGTTAAATTTACATTACGCAATTCTTCGTTATATAAATACATATAGACTTAAAATGGACAGAGATTCTTTGCTTTTATTTCATTTTATGTATCAACGTTTTCGCGTTTCGATGCTAAAAAACGAAGAGCGCTTAATCGCAGAAGGCGACGAATGTACCTTTTGCTTCACCAAATGAAACAAAACATGCGACGCTTGCAGATGCTTCAGACGACAACAACATTGCTTTTTATCGCGATCGCCAGAGTGGTCAACCCAAGAGTTGATCGTGAGTTTTGGGTTATTCCTAGACCAGGAGTTGGATCGCACTTTCTTTGTTTTGCTTTCGGTTCGGAGTTGAATCCATTCTGATTTTTTACAATACGAAAGATAGTGCGACTGCCTGCAATATGTGTGTCTGTGTTTCGAAATTGGCGTGTTAATGCAATTTTTGGTCTTATCAGGATTTCTAATGGATACTTAAACAGGGAGCGTTTTTATTGGTCGCGTTGCATAAATCCTCTTGAGATATGCATTCTAGCACAGTTCAGTCACCGTCCCTACCGTGCTTGAATCTTGCTGTGGTACTTTTGTAGTTTCAAGCAAAATGTATCAAGTTTCAAGCAAGCTCGGATTATGCGTTTTACGGGGTCCAGATCATTGAAGTTCACACTATCAAACGTGCTTGGAGGCTGACCTGTAGATTCAAGACAGATTCAAGTAGATTACGTTCAAGTAAGCACGATTCTAGCGCTAGTGTGACCGCGGCCGAGTTTGACTAATGGTCGCGGGTCGCGTGTCGCGGGTAAAAAGTCGCGTGTCGCGGGTAGAATGTCGCGGGTCGCGGGTAAAATGTCGCGGGTAAAAAGTCGCGGGTCGTAAAAAAGCTCCAAACCGTGTATTCTATTGAGTCGCGGGTTGAATAAAGTGTGTAAAAATCACGTTATCATTTACTGAACAGCTATATAGGATTGCTTCAATACGAAATATTGCCCAAGAGCCTTTTGTCACGATTTAATGAGTTTGACTAATGGTCGCGGGTAAAAAGTCGCGTGTAGAATGTCGCGGTTAAAATGTCGCGGGTCGTAAAAAAGCTCCAAACCATGCATTTTAGAGTCTCGGGTTGAATAAAGTGTGTAAAATCACGTTTTCATTTAGTAAACAACCATATAGGATTGCTTCAATACGAAGCATTGCCCAAGAGCCTTTTGTCATGATTTAATGGTTCAATATAAACGTGCCAGAAGCCTAAAACTTGAAAGAATAATTTCAATATGTTAAACCAACAATTATACCATGACAAAAATCCTCTAATCAAAAAAATGTTCTGAAAGAAACAAACAAGACTTTGGTAGAAATAAATTCAGTTTACCACTACTATTACAATCAGTTTTATACCAATTTAAAAACAACCATATAGTATCACAAATAATAGATATATCCATGCTAGGACATTATAAAAGTACATTATGATTCACCAACAACCCGGATATTTAAGCAGTCTCTAGCAGTTGTTTCTGGAAAGTACTGATCGATGCGCAGAGGTTTGACGACAACGCGCACTGAGCCACTGCAGAATATCGGATTTTTACGCCTGATATGGTAGAAATTGGATGCCTATAGGCACATATATGTATTACTTAAATCAGGACTATTAGCATAGGAATGTGTAACAGGATCCTTTTGCACAACCGGACCAAGTATCTCCAATATCCGTTGATAGTGTTGCCTCGACCCTAAGAGGCCTAAAAGCATGTAAAGCAACAGGTCTTGATAAAATTCCTGCTAAAATTCTAAAATTATCTGCAAACATAATTGCACCCTCGTTGACATTCATCTTCAATCTGTCGCTTGCAACAGGCGTATATATAGATGAATGGAAGCGTGCTCGTGTTACGCCAATATTTAAATCCGGGGATAAAAGACAATGTGAGAACTATCGGCCTATTTCAATTTTACCGGTGGTGAGTAAAGCCTTTGAGAAGGAAGTTTTCCGTCAAGTATATAGATACTTGTCTGAAAGCTCTCTTAATTCTGTCAAAGTTTCAATCTGGATTTCGTCCAAAGTATTCAACTGTAACTGCCCTCATCCAAATGTGTGATGAGTGGCTAGGAAATATGGACAATGGAAAGTTAAATGGGGTTGTGTTCATAGATATCAAAAAGGCATTTGACTCTATAAACCATCGCATTTTGTTAAATAAAATGAATGAGCAATTTGGAATTTTTGGCGTAGAATTAAAATGGTTTGAGTCATATTTAACAAATAGAGAACAGCAATGTAATGTTAATGGAGAATTATCTAGTAATAAAATTATCACCTGTGGAATGCCCCAGGGATCTATACTGGGACCACTGCTGTTCCTATTATATATTAATGATTTGCCCGATTGTTTGAAATCAACTAATCCATGCATGTACGCGGATGATACTCAAATCTTTTCATCTTCCTACGATGCAAATGAACTTGTTGTAAATTTAAATTCAGATTTTGCCCATGTCTGTAACTGGCTTAAAGAAAATAGGCTGCAGATGCATCCATCAAAATGTAAAATGATGTTTATTGGCTCCCCGTATAATCTTAATAATATAATGTGTGAGGAACCCGTTGTGGCTAATGCAAAACCCATATCACGAATTGCTACACAAATGTGCCTAGGAGTAAAACTAGATGAAACCCTTAATTGGGATAGTCACATTGAAATGATATGCAAGAAGGCGAGCGCTGCTATTGGCGCTATGAAACGTATAAAGCCCTTTGTTCCAATGCATACCTTAGAATCGATTTATAAAAGTCTTGTGCAGCCCTACTTTGATTATTGTTCCCCCTTTGGGACACTTGTGGTAAGTTGCTAAGAGACAAGTTGCAAAGATTTCAGTCTCGTGCAGCAAGAGTCCTAACGGGTGCTAATTATGATACTCGCTCAGCTGATCTTCTCAACATGCTTTCTTGGGATACACTTGAAAATAGGCGGTCTGGTGCCAAGTCAGTATTAATGTATAAAATACTTAACGACCACACTGCGCCAGGTCTCCGGGGGTCATTCGTGAGAAGAGAAATAGATCAAACTAATTATCATCTTCGAAACACAGCAACTGATCTAACAATTCCTAAACCGAAACGAGAATTTCTTAAAAAAAGTTTTAAATATAGCGGCGCTATGCTCTGGAATCAACTCCCAAACGAAGCAAAATTGGCCGAGTCGCCTCATTCGTTTAAATCAATTGTTGGACAGCGACATGCTTCCTAATTATTTGTATATAGTAACGTGTACAGTATGTGTGTACTAATATTTAGTTTAAATTTTCCTTTTAATGATTTTTAAGATCTAAACACGCCCCCCATGGAAACCAGCCTAGAGTTGATGGGGCTAGCGTGTTCTTCTTTCTGTTAATTTTAAATAAAGTATTACGTACCTACCTACCGTCTATCAACGTGCTTTACAATAATGTTATATGGTTCTTGTCTATATTTATCTAGAAACTCGCAATTGCAGCCATAACATCTTCGAACAACTATTGATAAAAACCATTAAATAACTAATAAATGATAACGTGATTTTTACACACTTTATTCAACCCGCGACTCAATAAAATACACGGTTTAGAGCTTTTTTACGACCCGCGACTTTTTACCCGCGACATTTTACCCGCGACCCGCGACATTTTACCCGCGACACGCGACTTTTTACCCGCGACACGCGACCCGCGACCATTAGTCAAACTCACCACGGCCATAACTATAATAAGTTACAAGCATTATAAAAACTTCGAGTGCTGCTTCTACACTTTTTTATACTACTAAAACAGTGAAGGCTATTTACCGAGTTAAAATTCGAGTTGGGAATACAGTTAGTTAAAATTTTATTCAGTGCTTGTCTAATTTACTGCATGTGGATTATTTCCGGCCTCTAGTGTGCGTCATATCTTGTCTTTAGACTTTACACTCCATGTGATATATGAGGAAAGTTATTTACCGATTTACTAAAGATTCGAGTGTGTATTCGATTCATATAATGCTATATATTATTCAGATCAGTAAAATATTTTATTCATAAGATACATATATGTTTACGCATGGAAAAGTCGGGTAAAATGTTATCATATTATGGAACAAACACATGAATAAATATATATAGGCCTTAATTCAGCATTTAGTACTGTGAATGATTTGGTCATTTAGGCTATTATAATTGTGAACGCGTATATACATAGCTACCTTTTACATTTTTGCAGAATTTAGAAATAAATACACTTTTCCGTGCTTGTATACGTACGTATGAAAAACGAAAGAGTTTAAAAAGTTTAAATTTATAAGTAGAAGTATTCTTATTGTCGTGTGTATAGGCATATACCATTATTGGAATTTGACAGTTAGCAACGAAACGTACTGATTCTGAACGTTGGTTTATTATTACATACATAGGAATGTTATTGCTTTTGTTCGGGAATAGTTTAATACTACGTAGTTTGAAATACATATTATTATATAAATCTGTCTACCGTGCTTTATTCAGACTGACAATTATGATTTATGTTCTATTAAAAGCCGACGTCATCCGTAAAGAGAAAGATGACATTAACAAATATGACTCCGCTCCTCTGGCTCTGGTCTGAGATATAACCCATGGCCACGATCTATCCCTGATACTTTCAGTGAAACTCTTGCTGAAAGGAACTGCGGATTCATCTATATTCTCATCAGTAAAGAGTTAAATGAAAAAGCATGCGAGTATCAGAAAGCCCGGCTGCGCAGCAGACCCGTCTATGTGTATAGTCTTATATATGACCGGCAGTCTAGCTGCCATCTTCAAATCGCGCTTTTCAGGTCATGTGGAATCACATATTTTTGAGAGAAATTGCGCTGTGTCACTAGTTAATTCGAACGGGATTTGAACTTTGCAGTTCAACTTTAAACAGTCACCTAAGCGAGCGTGTACCGCTTGCGTTTTTCACAACAGTCATTGAAACTACATTAATTTATACTATCATTCATTTATAATTTTGTATGCTCGTTTAGAAACTAGGCCAAAATCTTAAAGATTTCGACCTTCGACTTCACCCTCGACCCTCGACTTGCGATCCTCGACCCTCGACCAAAATCCCAAATCGCAATGAAAAAAATAAAGCTGAAATACTACCTCCAACCGGAAATTTGAGGGCCAACTTGCAGGCCAGTCCCAGTCTTTTCACGCATGCGAAGAGCGTTCAATCAGTCAATCATGATATAAACACGCGTGATCT